GACATATCGTATTTCATACATTTGATTCAAGTGGGTTATGAACTCCCATTTTTACCCCGTATACAGATTGCAGAATCACATCGGTTACACATCCACTTTTTTACATACTGCCATACTAGTGTCTATTGTGTTCTGTTGCCTTTACTATCCTCTACTATCCCTCCCCTCCCATCTTCTCTCTCTACCATCTACAGTAATTCATTTCTCCCCCTTTTTTTTTTCCCCTTTCCCCTCACTTCCTCTTATATGTAATTTTGTATAACAATGAGGGTCTCCTTCCTCCATAGGTAATTTGGTACAGTTGACATTTTTATAGTAAGTTTTGAACTTGTGAACTTAAGCCTTTCTCTTAATATTTTATAGTTATCTGCACAGCAGTCTTACACATTATTTAAAAATTATTCTTAGGTATGCTGTTTCAAATATTATTATTAAAATATTTGCTTATTCTTATTATATGAAATACAAGTGAGTGTTTTCCACATTTATTGGTGCATTATACTTACATAATGATGGGATTTGTTACATATTCATATATGCACACAATATAATAATATGTAACTTAGTTTTATGTGCTGACTCTACATCTAGAGATTGTGCTAAAGTCATCTATTAATCACCTGCTAACAGTCTATCTACAAATTCTTTTTTTAATTCCTTTTTTTTTTAATATCTCTATTTTGTTTTGTTTTTATGTGTTGCTGAGGATTGAACCCAGTGCCTCATATGTGGGAGGCAAGTGCTGTACCACTGAGCCACAACATAGTCCAATTTACAAATTCTTTTTGGATTTTTTATCTATAAATAATGACAGTTTAATTTTTCTTTCCCAATTCTAGCCTACTTTTTATCTTGCTTGACTATACCAGCTAGGCTCTCTGTGACAATGAGCAACGATGTCTTATAGACAGTCTTGGGAAGAAAGCTGTCAATATTTCACATCTGTTATAGGTCTTTTTACAGCCACTATTTATCAGATTAAATAAATTCCCTTATAGGATCATGCCAAAGTTTGAACATTAAATACTAATTGAATAATTGACTAGGGATCATGGTATTTTAAGATATGATAACAGCCAGGTACAGTGGTACACACTTCTAATTCTGTCTTCTTGGAAGACTAAGGCAGGAGAATTGCAAATTCAAGGCCAGCCTACACAATTTACTGAGATTTGTTTTGAAATAAAATAAAAAGGGCTGGGGATGTAGTTCTATGGTAGAGCATTGAGTTCAATCTCCAGTCTAGCAAAAATATATAACATTTTTAAAAAATATGATAATGGTATTATAGTTATTGTTTCTCTAAAAGCCCTTACTTTTTAGGAATGTTTACTGAAATATTAACATATGGAAAGATATTCTGCTTCCAAATAATGCAAAAGGAGTGGAATTAAGTAGGGGTATAGAAGACACAAAAGCATCTGAATTAACAATGAAAGCTATATGGCAATTATATGGGTGCTGACTACACTCTGCTGAGATTTATTTATTTAAAAAACTTTTTTAGTTGTAGTCGGACTCAATACCATTAATTAATTAATTAATTAGTTAGTTAATTTGTATGTGGTGCTGAGGATTAAACCCAGCACCCACACATGCTAGGCGAGCACTCTATTGCTGAGTCACAACCCCAGCCCTGAGATATAATTTATACCATGAAATTCACTCTTCCAAAGTATAAGCTGATGGTTCTATAATCACCATCACTAATTACAGAGCATTTTCATTATTCTCAAAAGAAACTCTACACCTATTAGCAGTCACTTCCCATTTCCCAATTCCCTCAGTCCCTGGCAACCACTAAATCTTCCTGTCTTTGTAGATTTGCCTATTCTACTTATTTCATGTCAATGAATCAGTTCTTGAGGTTCATCCATGTTGTAGCATACACCAGCATTTCATCCCTTTTTTTTTTAGCCAAATAATATCCCACTGTATGGACACACCATGTTTTATTTAGCCATTCATCAACTGAAGTACATTTGAGTTGTTTCCACTTTTAGATTATCACAAACAATGCTTCTCTGAATATCTGTTTAAATATTTTTATATGAACATATGTTTTCAACTGTCTTGGGTATTGGTGATGTTATGATACACATACTTTGGTTTTTGTTCACAATTCCTGGCTCATAACTTCCTCTCCAAGGAAGGCCACAGAAACTAGAATTTTTCTTCCCTAAGGCAGGTCATTGAAACTCTAATTTTCCTTTACCTTTCCATCTTAGAGCTGGCCATAAAGAAATTCTCTGACTTACTCTGGTCATGATATTTTCCTCATTCCAGATGGGTTAAGCCCTGTGCCCTGTAGGAAGGAATACTGCATCCAGAGGCCAAGGATAATCTGAATAGATAGGCCTTGCTGAGTTTCCCCACCTTAGCAATAATGCCTACACAATGAGGTCTTTGTCCCAAAAGGACAGAGTTCCAGAAGGTTGAACACAAGGAGATTCCTGGAGGGCAACATGCTCAGAGACACCTAAAAGCTCCGCACCCTTCTTCCATACCTTGACCTATATGCATCTCTTCATCTGTGTTTCTTGCAACATCCTTTTTTAAAATATTTTATTTTTACGTGGTGCCGAGGGTCAAACCTAGTGCCTCACGCATGCTAGGCAAGCACTCTACCTCTGAGCCACAACCTCAGTTCCCTTGTAACATGCTTTAAAATAAACTCAGTGTTTCCCTGAGTTCTGTGAGCTGCTAGAGTAAATGAATCACACCTGAGGAGGGAGTTGTGGAAAACTCAATTTACAGCCACTTGGTCAGGACCACAAGTGAAATGAGCTGGGAGCTGGGCACAATGTCACATTTCTGTAGTTCCAGCTACTTGGGAGGGTGAGGTGGGAGAATCAAGTCATTCTCAGAGTTCAAGGCCAGCTGAGCAATATAGTAAAATCTGTATCATTTTAGAAAAAAAAAAAAAAACTAAACAAAATACCACCTGGTGTTTGCCACTGGTATCTAAAAAGTGTGTGCTGGGGGAGGACAGTCTTGGGAACTGAGGCCCTAACCCCTGTGACCTGATGCTCTCTCTAGGTAGACAGTGCTAGAACTGAACTGGTTTAGAGATACCCAGCGGACATCCACTGCTGCAGAACAGACTGCTTGCTGAAGGGAAGAAACCCTACTTATTTAGAGGTCAGAAGTCTTACACATTCACTGCTGTGCAACAACAGAGGGGGATGGGCCTTCCCAGCACAAGGCACACAGTTAAGCTGATGGGTCATAACTCAACTCACCACGAATCCACAGACTAGACTTCTTGTGCTGTTTCACATTCCTATCAGCAATGTAAGAAGACTCTAATTTCTCCATATCCATGCCAACATTTGTTATTGTCCATCTTTTTGATTACCGTCACCCTAGTGGGTGTGTATGGTTTTGATTTGCAGTTCTTTAATGACAACACTACTGAGCATCTTCTCATGTGCTTACTGGTCACTTGTATATCTTCTTTGGGGACAGGGTGGTGTTGGGGATTGAACCTAGGACCTCATGCATGGTAGGTATACATTCTGCCACTAAGCTATACGCCCAACCCTAAATTTGTTTCTTTCATCATAAGAGTTTTTTTTTTTTTAATCTTTTTCAACACTAACTACACAATTATCAGAAAATATTTGCAAATATTTTCTTTCATTCTGTGGGTTGTTTTGAACTTTTCTTTTTTCCTTGGTGCTGGGGAATGAACCTGGGGCACTTAACCACTGAACCACATACCCAGCCCCTTTTAAAATTTTTATTTAGAGAGAGAGCCTCTCTAAGTTGCTAAAGACTGGCTTTGAACTCCAAGATCCTCCTGCCTCAGCCTCCTGAGACACTGGGACAGCTGTGCGTCACCATACCCAGCAAACTTTGACAGTCTCATTTGAAGCACAAAAATTCTTAACTTGGTGAATTGATCTACTTATCAAATTTTATTTAGTTGCTTATTCTTTAGGTGTCACATCTAAGACACTATGCCTAATCTAAGGTCATGAATGTTTACAACTATATTTATTCAACAGATTTTACAGTTTAGCTCTTTCATGTAGGTTTTCAATGCATTTTTTAATATACAGTATGATTTTGGGCTCCAAATTCATTCCTTGTAATGTGGGGATCTAGTTGTTCTAATACTATTTGTTGAAAAGACTATTCCTTTCCTTACCAAATTACCTCCATACCCTTGCTGAAAATGAATCATGTGCCTATTTTTGAATTCTCAATTCTGTCTATCCTACTCAGTAACACAGTCTTGATATTACAGCTTTTCAGTAAGTTTGAATTCAGGAAGTGTGACTATTATGTTTAGTGGGGTTGTGTTAGTTCAAGTTTTCTTCTAGGACTCTTAAAGTTTTATTTTGCACTTTGAAGTCTCAGACCCCTCTAGATTTTTTTTAGAATGAACAGTAAGAGCCAACTTTCCTGGTTGTTTTTTTTTTTTTTTTTTCAATCCCTATCCAATCTATCACTACACCAAGACAGGGTGATTTCTGATAATCTGACAAACACTTCTTCCTGAAAATCAAGTATCAACTCCATCATTAAGCCTTTCCTGACATAAACACATGAACAAAATTCACTTTGTGCACCACTGTATTCTGCACAGACTTCTATCAAAGCACCCAAAACTTTATGCATAGATTTAATTTCACAGTCTCCTTTTAATGTGCTACAACACATAGTAGATGACTGAATGAGTAAATGAAAGAACTTTAAAATACAGTATTTAAAATCTGTCAACTCGATAAGCAGATAACTCATTATTTTCATATGGTAGTGTAATGAAGAAACTTAAGCTTAAGTACCTAAATATTATTTGAAAAAACCTGCCAGTTTCTATAATGAAGGAGTATTGTAGATTTTACCCTGGTCCTTAACAAATGTTTATTATCATTTTAAGATTAAGGGAATCTAAGAAAACACAAAGTTCCCTAGAACAACAGGAAGTATCCCAAAGTCTACCATCATAGATATAAAGCACATACGGTGAGTTAAAAGAAATCTATACTTACATGATTGCAGTCTGAAGAAATTTCATTTTCAGGCTAGAAAGAAAGAAAAACAAATGATGTTTAAAAAAAAGCAAAACAAAAAATTTCTCAAGTTTTCAAATATAATTTTCAAATTCAAAATAAACTTTAATACAAGAAATCTGAACAGTCAATTGAATATGTTTCTTCAATATAGGGAGTAAAATGGTATTATACACTTTTTAGGCTATTGGTAAGAAATGAACCAGAAAGATACTTAGGAAGCATAATCCCCTTCTAAGTCAACCATACAATCTGGAAATGAGGAAAATGGGGAAAAATGCCCTAAAACAATAATAACAAAAGGACCCTTTCTTTTATATGATACTTTCTGATTTTAAAGAGGATCAGCCCAGCCCCTGTAATCCCAGCCACTTGAGAGCCTGAGGCAGGATAATCACAAATTCAAGGTCAGCCTTAGGAATTTAGTGAGTCCCTGTCTCAAAAAATAAAGAGGAGGCTGGGTATATAGCTCACTTGCTTCACATGCACAAGGCCCTGGATTCAATCCCCAGCATCACCAAAAAAAAAAAAAAAAAAAGTGGGAATGTAGCTCCGCGACATGGAAGTCTAGTACCACAAATAAATAAATAAATAAATAAATTCAGACATAACACAATGATACATGTGTCTTTTCTTTAAAAAAAAAAAAAAGTTACATATCCTTAAAAAATGACTTATAAAGAAGTGCAGAGAAGAACTATTAAAATTTAAGTGTACTGTCACCTTGGTGGATGATAAGTACATAGGAACTGTTCTATTTTTGAAACTTCTTAAAGTGTGTGACTAGTAAACAGAAAATTAACAAGGGTTGAAATTTTATTTATTCATTTATTCCCATGAATACATCTATCTTTTTTTTTTTTTTAAGTGGGGAAGTACCGGGGATTGAACTCAGGGGCACATGACCCACATCCCCAGCCCTATTCTGTATTTTGAGACAGGGTCTCAATGAGTTGCTTAGCACCTTGCTTTTGCTGAGGCTTCTTTTGAACTCTATATCCTCCTGCATCAGCATCCTGAGCCTCTGGAATTACAGGCAATGTGCCAACTGTGCCTGGCTACATTCGCTTTTTAAAGCTAGGTACAGTTAATGGATAAAATGAACTTTTAATTCTAGGAAGAAAGAAAAGTGGTTGGGGTGTGGCTCAGTGGTAGGGCACTTGCCTTGCATGCATGAGGCCCTAAGTTTTGCCTGGTTTGCATAGCTCTGCAATAGGTATTTCTTTTCATTTTCTTGTTCAGACCTTTAAAGGAGATAACCATTGTAATAAAACATTCCATAAGAAAATGCTATTTCCCTTGAATTTTTGTGTTTCCTCAACCTATTCAAATCTGTTCAAATGAAGTAAGAAGTACTTACTATGAACTTTCTATGAAATATTACCAATTTTGGCTATTAACAGTGCCATTTTAAATAAAAAGGTATTTTTATTCAAAGATAAAGTTAAGGCAATAAAGAAAGTAGTAAATATGAACAAATCAAGTGGCTACATATTACTTAAGGAGTAAAAAGACTTCTAGAGAAGGCTTTTAATTTCACTGTAGAATTTAGTAACAAAAATATACAAACTCACAAATTATATTAAAATTAACTTTAATTAGGTTGCTACATAATCATGACATTATAACCTTACTTTTGAAGTTTCTTCCGACTTATTTAAGAATAGATACTTTTAATGTCTTTCTGAGTCTCAGAAATCAGTCTCCACACACTGAGCTGATCCAGCTTAACTCTGTTCCCTTCCACTTCAATCTGAAGTGCTTAATAGAGGCCTTCTTGAAAGAAATTCAGAGCACTGGAGAATCTTTAAAACAATGCCATGCTAGGCATGGTGACACACACTATAATCCTAGCAGCTCAGGAGGCTGAGGCAGGAGGATCCCTAAAAGCTAGCCTCAACAATTTAGTGAGACCCTGTCTCAATAAAAAAGTAAAAAAGATCTAGAGATTCAGCTCAGTGTGCAAGTGTCTCTGGGCTGAATCACTGGTACCATATAAATAATAGGACTTGATTAGCTTTAGTCCAAGAAGAAAAACAGCATGGAATACGAAAATCTAGAATTACTAAAATAGAATAAGGCTAAAGAGTTTCTTCTTTTATTAACAATTAATGAAATTATATTATGGGGCGATTGCAAGGAATGAATCAGCAAGTATATATTCATGTATCCTAAACTTCCATAGGCATTGCTGCAGGATATAAAAGATTTTGTCTAAGTCTCTGATCTTAGATAGCTTACAATCCAGTTTGTAGATAAAAGAGTAAAATCAAACAATTAAACAAGTGAAGGAACCTGAGGAAGGCCGAATGAATTAGAACAGTGACCAGAAAGGAATGAAATGATTCCTCCAAAGAGGAAGTTACACATTTCCCTAGGGCTCAGGAAGAATAGAATAAAGCTATTAAAAAAAAAAAAGAAGAAGAAGAAGAAAAGAAAAAGAAAGAGGCAGGTACAGTGCATGCCTGTAATCCCAGTGGCCAGGGAGGCTGAGGCAGGAGGATTGAGAAGTCAGAGCCAGCCTCAGCAATGGTGAGGTGCTAAGCAATTCAGTGAGACTTGTCTCTAAATAAGATATAAAACAGGGTTGGGGATGTGGCTCAGTGGTCAAGTGCCCCTGAGTTCAATCCCCAGTGGAAGGGAGGAAGGAAGGTAAGAAGGAGGTCAGCATTTAATTTACCTTTTAATATATTTTTCAACATGTGAGATATTGAAATAAAAAAAAATCCAAAATGAAATCCTCATCAGTTTCAGAATCCTACTGTGACCCCACCCTTCAAATTAGAGGCATAGTGCTGGCTCCTAGCCTGTGGACTGCCACATCATCAACTGCTCTTCACCATTCTAGAGACAAAAATCTGTCTCTTACATCAAGTGTTTATTTACTGGAAAGAAAACTGTTCTCTTACAATGGGAAAATGAGAATAAAATTTTATGAAGCATACCAGTAAAGAAACTATTATGAGCCAGATACAGTGCTATATGCCTGTAACCTCAGCTACTCTAGAGACCCAGGCAGGCAGATCACAAGTTCAAGGCCAGCAAGACCTTTTGTCAAAATGAATAAAGGGCTGGGGCTCTATGTCACTGGTAAAGCATTTGCCTAGCATGTGCAAGGCACTGCGTTCAATCCCAGTGGAGGGAGAGAGGGTGGAAGGAAAAGAAACTATTACAAATAGAGGAAAGAGAAAAAGAAGAGAACCCAGCACATCTCCAAACCCCAACACATCAATGACTAAACCAGATAAGGAACTTGGCTAATATTGAATGAATAATGCAGTAATGTAGTAACAGTGATAGGAACTGAGTACTTGGATACACTTGCCTGACTCCAATAAAGGGCATATATGTGTGTGAAAAGACATAAAGCCACCATTTAACTCAGGCAAATGCTACATTCATTTCTTACAACATGAAAGACTAAAAGAATAAATGAAATTGTATCCTATTTTACAGATGAAGATACTGAAGTACAGAGAAACTAAGTAACCGGATCGAAGGTATAGTGGTAGGAGATATACTGGGATGTAAATAATGACAACTATGTGCATGTACTGCTTTCAGCTTGGTGTCTTCCTAAAAAAGCCAGGTAGATAATGTGGCTCAGAGTGAGCCTAATTATGGGGGCCTTTGGATGGAGCAAGGAAAGGAAAGGGTAGACAGGATAAATGTTTTAATCTAATGCTCTAGAGTGATTTGTCTGACAGTTAAATGATTAATTTTGATGCAGGCAGTCCAGATAAGAAAATGATCAAGAAATTAGATAAACTAGGGATATGGATTAGCCCTTAAATAACCATAGTGAGTATAAAAATTTTGCTTAGTTATCCTGGCTTTTCTAAATCAATGACTCAAATATTTTGGGTATTATTCACTTAATGTACTTTGTTGTCCTAGTTGGTAAACCAAAGCTGAAATCATTGATTTTTAAACTTAATCTCCCTGCCCGTCCTTTAGGTTCTATAAATTTAGAGCTGGTTTTAAGGGAAGGGATAACATGATAGGAAAGGAACAAAAGAAGTACAGTATTCAGCCATAGAAGCTGTGTAGCTGTACAAAGGTCACTGAACTTCTCCCAGACTCAAGGCTAGGCTTTGGCACAAAATGGATTTCTTCATGTAGGATCTAGAAACAATTTTTAGGAATCCAATATTTTCTTGAAACCCAATATTGTTATGTAATTCTCTCTTCTGAGCATAGTATCCACAGCTGTTACAGTCCCCCCAAAGTTTATAAAATCGAGAAATAAGAATTACTGGTTGATGCCAGGCACAGTGGCGCACACCTATAATCCCAGCAGCTTGGGAGGTGGAGGCAGAAAGATGGACAACTCAAATGCAGCCTTAGCAACACAGCGAGGCCCTAAGCAACTCAGACCCTGTCTCTAAATAATAAACAAAAAAGGCTGGGGATGTTGCTCAGTGGTTAAGCACCTCTGGGTTCAATCCCTGGTACCAAAATTAAAAAAAAAAAAAAAAAAAAAAAAAAAAAAAAAAAAAACGAAAGAAACATTGGTTGGACACTTTTAAGCTTCTTTCCAACTTTATGAGTCAATAAAATCTGAGATGTGGAATTTTTTTAAAAGTCATTAAAATAGGGCTGGGGATGTGGCTCAAGCGGTAGTGCGCTCGCCTGGCATGCATGCGGCCTGGGTTCGATCCTCAGCACCACATACAAATAAAGATGTGGCCGCCGAGAACTAAAAAAAAAAATAAATATTAAAAATTCTCTCTCTCTCTCTCTCTCTTTCTCTCTCTCTCTCTCTCTCCTCTCTCACTCTCTCTTTAAAAAAAATTCTCTCTCTTAAAAAAAAAAGTCATTAAAAAAAATATATATATAGGGCTGGGGATGTGGCTCAAGCGGTAGTGCGCTCGCCTGGCATGCATGCGGCCTGGGTTCGATCCTCAGCACCACATACAAATAAAGATGTTGTGTCTGCCGAAAACTTAAAAATAAATATTTTTAAAAAAAATATACACACACACACACACAGACACACACACACACACACA